TATCTGGAAGTCAAAATGAAAATTCCAGTTCTCAATAATGCCAACATAGTTAATTGATGTATTACATAATCCATGCATAACAGTCTCAGAATAGCAATACCAATACTACCACTGATACTATACTTAGCAAAACCGGATTTTTTTTCATGGTTATATTTGTCCATGGGGTCTCTCTCACTAGGGATGTATAATCATACACTATGTTTTAAAGTCACTTGAAAAAAATCCCCCTTTTTCTAATGGTGTCAATTTGACACATATTTAAATTAACTTATTTTATTTGGCTTTGTATATTACAAGTTATTTTTTAACATTTAATTTTGGTTTATGATTATGTGAACTATTTACCTATGTACATGGTTCCAAAATAAATTCTACAAAGCAAGGTATATTCAGAGAAGTCTAGCTTCTACCCCTGTACCTTTCTATGCCTGTTGCCACTACCTTTCATCTTTCGATGTCCTTTTAAAGGAATTCTGGTTTGTCCTGTCATTTTCAATGTAAGAAAATATTGGTTTATGCTTTCATTTCAACATACAAAATATAAAGGATAGCATATGAAACACAGTTTTCTGTTCCTTGGATATGCTTCTTAAGGTCTCCCATTGTATCAGGTCATTAATATCTACTTTGAGACCTTCAGTCTGTACTAAATGAAACTGTGGATGACATGCTTACTACCGTAGGCACACATGGATTGTTGATTTTTCTTTCTCTCTGAAATCGATCAATCCAGATACTTCCTGCATCTGAAAGACCTCCTGCGCTAAAATAGCTCTGCGTCACACTTCCAAATTTTGTGAAAGTTTGCCAACTGAATTTTCAGCCTCAGTCTTTCTCACTAATGCTACATCTTACAGTTGGTGAGAAACAATCACATTTTCCTAAAAACTTAGTTAAGAACATAAAAAGATATTAAATTCATCTTAGCGTGGTGTTGTAGTGTATTTGGGTTTGCCTGAACATTTTTATGTACAAAATGTGGTAAAATATCTTTGAACATCAGATCCCACTTTTAATATAAGGTATTCATAGGAGCAGAGACCCCAAATTGGGCTTCCCAAACTTCTTAAGACTTTGGGTTACCCAAACATCTGAAGACTTAAAACTTTTAAGTGAGAAGTTGAAATGGGAGATGTGAGGCATTCTCATTATTGGTGGATCTTAGAACTACCAAATGGATATAAGGATATATTCACTTATGTACTTTGGTTCACACATTTTCCAAAATCATGGGGTGGGTGGAAGTATAGATAATTTTTAAAAAATATCTTGCTGGGCGTGTCTAGGATATATTGTCTCTTAATCAGTCTCTTCTCCTTTTTGGCAGAGATAAAAAGACTTTGCTCTTCTCAACTCCTTTTGACAGCACAGGGGAACACGTGACATGATATTTACTCCACATCTGATAGCCTGTCACTTTACAAAACAATATTTGAGGCTGGGTACAGTGGCTCATCCCTGTAATCCCAGCACTTTGGAAGTCCAAGGTGAGTGGATCACCTGAGGTCAGGAGTTTGAGACCAGCCTGGTCAACATGGTGAAACCCTGTCTCTACTAAAAATATAAAAGTTAGCCAGGCATGGTGGTGTGCGCCTGTAGTCTCAGTTACCAGGAAGGCTGAGGCACGAGAATTGGTTAAACCCAGGAGGCAGAGGTTGCAGTGAGCCCAGATGGCGCCACCGCACTCCAGCCTGGGTGACCCAGTGAGACTCTGTCTCAACAAACAAACAAACAAACAACAATGTTTGAGTACAACTCTAGGCCAAAGACCACCTATTCTTGGTAATGACAACTGTCTAATAATTGTTCAGTTGGTACCAACAGTGCTCAGAGAGGGCATGGTGTGATGACATGCACTTCATGCCCAAGTAACTAAATTTGTCAACGTATTCAATGCTTACAGGACACAGGACTGGGCTGTGACCCTTGGCAAGCCTCCCAAGCTATTCAGTGATGTTAGACAACCCACTTACCCTCTCTGAAATTTACTTTTCTTATCTGTAATATGCAGCTATTGTACGGCTAAGTCAGATTTCTTCCAACCCTAAAATTCTGCAACTATTGGTCTAGCATGAGCCTAACTAACATCAGTGAATGATGATATAAGTGTAAACTGTAATAAAATCCTCATTTTTCTCACAAAATCACTTTGATTTCAGATTTGTAAGTGTTTTTCTGTTTGGAAAGGGACTTTAGAGGTGGGGTGTACAGATACTCATATTTTTTAGCCTAGTATGTTGGAGAGAAGGAACTATTAAACTATTAAGAAGGAGGTTGCAGCAAGTTGAACAACTTAGATTTTTTAGATTGAGTTATAGATTTGAAAACTCTGGTGCTCTTAAATATTCAGATCCATGAAGTTACTCTTTCACATGGGGACAATGAAACTTTCTGAAATCACATGGAAAATATTGTACAGAAAGGCAAAAACCAGAAGCTTTTATTGAGCAGTTACGTGCTGCATACTTTCAAATGAATTCACTCATTTAAACCTTACAGAAACTCTGTGTTATGTATTACTATTGTTGTTTCTAATGTCAGACTCAGTTATGTTAGTTACTTCTCCCAACATCACACAGCTTCTAAGGAATTAGGCACTGACTGGACTTCAAAGGGTTGTTAGAAGTTAATATGTTAAAGGAGCTTAGAAGAGTATTCAGTACCTACTATGCACTATAACTTGACCTATTCTCCTCCTCCTCCTCTTCCTCCTCCTCCCTCTCCTGCCACTATTGTCATTGTCTTCTGTCCCCCTCCTCTTCCCCTTCCCTTTCCTCTTCCCCTTTCCCCTCCCCTTCCCCCTCCCCCTTCCTCCTCCCCTTCCTCTTCCTCTTCCTCTTCTTCTTCTTCTTCTTCCTCTTCTTCTCCTTTCTTCCCCAGAAGTTCATTGTATTTACCTGGTGAGAGTACAGTGATCTCAGGTTTGCAGGCTGAGTTGCCTGAATTTAAATACACACACTGCCGTCTAGGTGAAAGGCAGAGTGCAAACTGCTTTATCTATGCAATCTGTAAAAAACTTAAACAACATGTGGCATATGCTGTGTATACAGTAAATATAAACTCTTACTTTTAATATAGTTCTTTTACATATTGATTCTGCAGAAATAATTCTTCAAAAGGTACTATTCATGGTGCTATTATAAATAGGCTAGAGAGTACAGTAGATGCTAGAGTAGAAGATATTGATAACACTCATTTTATTGGTTGTATTATTTGGTATAATGGAGTACAAAATGATTTCTCCTGTTGTCTTCATGCTTAGAGACCTGAAGTCAGTTTAAGTCAGTCTGCTTTTTAAAAGTAATTCTTCTGACATCTAGTTTTGATGGTGATTTTTAAAAGGTCAATTCTAAATAAGGTCTGTTTTTTTTCTCAGCAAATGCTTATTTTTCTACTTTGAAGTCAGGAGATACATAGTTGAAATATGATACCCTTAATCTCTTAATTTGTAGACTTCCACCTACCCATTCATTCTATTGTTGCCTCACCAAGCACTCAGAATTGTATTACACAGTGGAAAGAAAATCAACCTTGGAATAACACATCTCGTATTGAAGTGACATTCTGCCACTTGTTACCTGTGTGATCTTGGAAAATTTACTTAATTCCTCTGAGCCTCAACATTCTCAAGTGAGCAATTAGATGCCTCACTTCAGTTTGGCCGACCGGTCCACAAATGTAGCCAGGGCAACAAATCTGTTTTCTTCCCAGAATATGGTGCAAGCATTGCCACGCACTAAGTGTGTCTGGACAGGTGTTTAGCTGCATGTGTTTTGCCCCATGCTTTTGTCCTGTCTAAAATAAGAATGTCTAAGACTATAGAGCTGGAAATGGTCTTAGACCTCATCCTGTCCAAGTTTCCTCTTTAACAGATGAGAAAATTTGGGTCCAGACAGGGTAAAAGAGACATGCCTCAAAATCGAATCAGTTAAACTATAATGCATCATATTGTTTGTGCCTTTATTTTTCCCTTTATCCTTTCCTTCCTATTTCACAATAAAAATGAGCACCCTCACTTATCTGTCTTTAGAAAATTACCTTTCTCTGACATTCAATATTCAAGAAAGGTATATATTTTTTGTAATCCACTTTTTTCTTCTTACAGCATATCTTGGGATATTGAAAATACCCCATTTTTGCAAATAAATCTATAAATTTAAAGAAGTGTCAATCTAAATATCCAAAATATACTTTATGGAACTTTGTAAGTCAATTATAAAGATGAGGTGAGGGAAAGAAACTATAGTAATGCGCAAGAAAAATTTTAAAGGAGGAGTGAAGGAGAACTTTTTCTACAGATATCAAAATGTAATATAAAACTATAGTAAATCAAATTATGTGGTTTTTGGCACTAGCATAGAATAATAGATCAATAGAACAGACTAGATTCCAGGGAAAAAAAACTACGACTGTAATAAAAATAGCATTTTAAGTCAGTGGGAAGTCATTTAATAAATGATATTGGGATAATTGGATATATACATAGATAAGAAAGAATGAAACTAAAATTGGTCTTATGCATATGTAATGAATATTGCAATCTCATGTGCTTTTAAAATACCCTGTGGAGTGTGTGTGTGTGTGTGTGTGTCTGTGTGTGTGCGTGTGTATAAAATGTCAGGGAAGGAAATCATTAGAGTGAAGGAAAGAGGTTAAGATAATTTTTTATTTTTTGACTCTTTGTAAGTCTATTTTTAAAATATTTTTAATTTTCCTATACCTTTTGTGATTATAAAATAAAGATTTCAAGCACAAAAATCACTTCATTACATTGCACATTTTCTTAAAAATTTCAGCAACCTGTATATGTGCGTGCATATGTTATAAACCAAACCGTAATTTGAATTAAAGTGGGGTAACTACACTTCATTGGAATTAGAGGGCTTCCTTTCAAAAATGTGAGCATCATTCCCTGGTCGCCCCAGTTCTTAGGTTTAGAATTTGGTGCATCTGGTTTTCTTTAATTTTACTTATTTCTATTAACCCTTAAAATCTAGGTGCCATGATGGAGATTAACCACGTCATGCTGACTTCTAAAAGATCCGGTTTATCCTGGACCCCATTACCTGCTTCTGCTTAAGCTTTTGTTGAGGAAATTTTTCTGCAGCTGAAATGAAGTTTGAAGGCTTTGAAGAACAGTGATTTCCATGTGACCTAGTGTAGCTTGGAAGAATGAAGTTCTGATTTGTAAGTAGAATCATTTCCTATTGTGGTAGACTAGTAAACTTGGAATAACAACAAGTATATGTTAAATAAATATAATTAAACAATAGTAAACATTAAATTTAGAGACTATTTTTAATGCTCCATTTGTATGAACTCACTTAATCCTCACAATAGCTATGAGGTTGTTTCATTCATGAGGAAACTACAGCACAGAGAGGTTGGTAACTTGCCTGAATTCACAGAGTTAATAAGGATTGGTACCAGGACTGATGTTCAGGTCATCTTGTTCCTAGCCTGTTCCCTAATCACAGCCAATTATGCAATGAATATTCTTTTTTTTTTTTTTTTTTTTTTTTTTTTTTAGCTCACTGCAAGCTCCGCCTCCTGGGTTCACGCCATTCTCTTGCCTCAGCCTCCCGAGTAGCTGGGACTACAGGTGCCCACCACCACGCCCAGCTAATTTTTTGAAGTTTTAGTAGAGACAGGGTTTCACCATGTTAGCCAGGATGGTCTCGATCTCCTGATGTCGTGATCCGCCCGCCTTGGCCCCCCAAAGTGCTGGGCTTACAGGCATGAGCCACCGCGCCTGGCAACAATGAATATTCTTATGTACGTTTTCTTACATTCACATGTACAAGGTTTTTCCAAGTGTGGCATTCTTGGCTGTAGGTTATACACATCTTCAGCTTTACTATATATTGACAATTTATTCTCTTTCTCCATGTCCTAACACTTTTAAGCAACTTTTAATATTGGTCAGTCTGATGAGTGTGAAGAGTTAGATCATTGTGTTTTAAATATTCATTTCATTTATAACTAGAGAGTTTGAAATGTTTGCACTGGGTTTGGTCCATAGATTTGTAAGTTTTTTAAATTCTGAATACGAAATCATATTTTCTGTATAAATATCCCTGGACACTTTGTTCTGTTTCTCTGCTCTGTTTCCCTAGCCATGCCGTAATACACATTGTCATAGTTACATGAGTTTTTCCTCTTTTACCTCCTCTTCCTCCTCCTCCTCGTCCTTCTAAAACATTGTGTATCTGATAGGATGAATCCCTTACCCTTTTTACCTTCAAAATAGAATCGATCATTTGTAGCCTTTTAGCTCTTTCATATAAACATAAAGATAAGGTTGTCAAGCTCTAGGAAAAAATTCTGTTGCATTGAATATGTGAATTAATTTAGGAAATTAGTTATGCTGATTCTATCTAGCCTGCTCTTTCTGAAAATGGTGGTAGTAAAATTAGTTGCTGAAGCTTTAATGGTTAATGAATCTTACTGGTTTTTCTGTGACTGGTTGCTAAAATGGATTAACAGTTTCTAAAGTACTTATGAGCATGACCTCTATCATATGTCAAGTGCTATGGCTAAAGTCTTACAAAATTTATTGTTGTTGGTGTTGTTTTAATAAATATTGAGATATTTCTAGATTGTGTTTTTTATTGATGTGATTGTTGCTATTTCACTGAAGTAATATAGATGTTAGAGATATATGGAGTCACATTTGTACACTGATAACCACCATTTGTTAGCCAAGCCTGAGTGTTTGGGATTCTTTAATGACTTATTTGGCTCTAATTCATAAAGCTTAGGGTGATTGTGAGTCCAGGCCCTGCTGAGCTGGGGCCAAGTGTTGCAATGAATGTTCCAAGCACTTGATGGTGTTGAATGATTCCAACTTAGAGACTGGAATGGAATTTTAGTATATCTATTTTAAATTTCTTCATGTTTAATATACAATCTAAAATTGTGACAGTTCAGTCAGATAGTCTCAGATAAACAAGTTTAAATAACCAAACAAAAATCTCTGGAGGAGTTTATATATCTTGGCTCTGCTGCCTTCAAAATCCTTGTGAATAAGAAACCAAATTCTGAGGTTGATACTTTTTCTTTAGAGTTATGAACATCCCGTTGTCAGAAAAACAGAGGTTACCACATATATTTCAATTGTTAATATTATACATATCACCACTTTTTCTTTAGTTAATCTTGGACCACGCTTCCTGAAACAGCCTCTCCCACATGCCAAGTATTGTATTTGACCTTTTCACGTCAATTATCTACTTTGTTCTTCACAGCAATCTTGTATACTACGTATCGATTCCAAATTTACAGATGGACAAATATGGTTGAGAGGGGTTTCCTAAAGTATTATAGCTAGAAACAGCAAAGTTGGGTTTCAAACATGGTGCTATCAAATTCAGGTCTGTATTATTTTCTATCACCCCATTCGTTCTCCCAGTGCCTGGCAATTGAATAAGAAAAAATAAAAATGATAAATCTATACTTTATTTTTGAATAGGTGCTAACTCCTAAAATTCAAAAGAGTTCTTTCTTTAATTCCAGCAGTGATGGCCCAACTTGATACTGACTATTCTGCTGATTTTGTTAATTTGCTCAGAAGCCTAAATTATCTGCTAATAAAAGATATTGCACAACTGGACATTCCTAATGTTAGTTACATCTGGAGGTGATCTCACTAAACATTACAGATTTGGCTGTGTGTCTTGGGGGCTTTCTGAAATCCTAACTTTTTGCATCCTTGCCCTACAGGCACAGTTCATACGCTCTAAGTACATAGCCAGATTAGCCATAGCCATGACAAACAGGAACCTTTCCATTTAGGTTTTTCTCTATATTTTATTTGAACTTTGGAAACAGAAGGAAATAGATTTGAAAATAAGATATTTTGGGGGTAGAATTGTCCTAGTTTCTATATTAAATGTTAAAATAACTAAAGACTGTAGACCCAAGAGATTTAAAAGTGTTGTTTAATTTTCTAGTAGTAGAAGAAATGATTAACAGACCAACACTCTTTCAAAAGTTGATATAACACTTACATGAAAGAACCAGAGAAAAGATCAGAAAGGATGGCGCCAGTTCAAGGGGCTTAAAGAACAAACTCTCTTTTCATGTAGAAACTTTTCAGTGGTTGACTATAAGGAATGACAGCAAAGAAACAGAAGACAAATCCATGCTGACATGTTCTGCTGCTCCTGCATCCAACTACAGAGGCCAAAGTCTTAGGGTGACTTTAAGGCAAATTATGGTCCAATTGTGCAATTCCATTTTCACTTGAAAAGTAAAAACTGATACAGTGTCAATATTCTTGTCCTAAGACATCTTCTTTACAGTGATAAAAGAACTGTATTGGGTATCGGTGGCATTAGTGCTAATCCGGACCATCTCTGGCTCACTATGTTACACAGGCAAGCCTATGCCTTAGATCTTCTGTAGTACCTGAGTTGAGGACTACTAGTGAAACTGCCTTATAGTTCAAAAAATGTCTCTATACTGGATCTCTAAGGTTTTTTTCCAACTCTAAACCTTTGTGAATCTCAGCCTGACTGGGTGCTAGGGTAGGATTAACAAGAAGTTAATAACCCTAGCTAGTAGTGTCAAATTGTAAAATTATAAAACATCTCTATGAAATGAACTTTATGCAATAGTACATATCTCACAAAACACTAGAAAGTATAATTGGTTCTCTTTATCCAGAAACAAAGGACAAATTAGATAGACTAGAAAGATTCAGACTCATATGCCAAACACTAGCTAAGTTCAACTTCTGCTTCTTTCACACAAATACTGTATGACCTTAGAGGAACCATTTAATGTTTCTTCGTTTCCTGTCTGTAAATTGAAGGGACTATGTTATGTGATTTAAATTCTTCAGCATCTAAAAGCCGAAACACTTCTCAATTATTTTATATGAAATGCAGATCAATTTTGGGAAGCATACTATGGGTAGCTGATAATATAGGGGAAAGATCTAACTATATTGGAGGAAACCAAGAAATACCTAGCATTATAATTAAAGCAAGTTGCCACATAAGTTCTCATATACTTGGGCACAACTCTTCAAGCCCTCCTCAGCCTGCAAACATAGATCTTAAATTCTTAAGATTATAATAGATATCTGTAAAATCAATTTGTTCAAGAGCTTTTCAATTTTATTGTTTAATTTGCTGGGACATTTTGGATAGCTATAGTTCACATGGAAGTTATTTAAAATCATAGGGTAGGCCCTTTTCAGGCTGACATAATTTATCTGTAGCTCTGCTTAGAAGCTGGGATGTGGATGATATGACTTCTATAGGCTCCTGCATGTCCTAGGAATATATGGGTAATTGGTTTTAGCAGTGCTTGAACAGCACATGGTTTCAGTATAGAGTAGGCAGAACTTGACCCCAGAAAAACAGACATAAATTTTTATTTTTAAAAAATAAGAGCACTTGAAGAAAGCCTGAAATAAATCCAGAGTTACTATCAACAAAGTGGAGGGAGTCTTACTCATCACAGAGAAAAGTCAGGCTCATTAAAGAAGGTAATTATGACCTCTGACATACAGAACTGTGTGCTGCTTTAAATTAAGGTTCTTAACGAGGCATTTCATTGTATGTCCTTAACTGAAGGATTTAAGGAGGCCAACTGTCTTCCACAGTCAGTGGGAATGGGTGTGCTACGTTCATGAGCTTTACTGGTAGAGAATATTTCAGGAAAGAATAGTTCAGGAATTTAAATACACCAATGTTCACGCAATTTCTGAACAGGTTGCTGGTGTGCTGAAAGCCCACCCAAGCTATGTGTTTAAAAATTTAAACTTTGCCACATACTAATGATATGCTAATGAATTTTCATGTTAGACAGATGACGAGAGCATGGTCTCTGTCCTTTTTCTGTTAATGTAATGAATGAACTTTGATAAGCAGTTTTAAGAGGAAGTTGTAAACAGGTTGTAAATGTTTACATGTTTCCGTCATTTTTGTTCGTTTATTTCACCTCCCTTGCTCAACAAATTTCTTTTTATTCTTTCTGTATTGTATTGTTTATAGAATTTAAATATGCTCTCATGCTCTTGCCAGATGAGAATTTGTCTTGATCAGCAATAAGCCACTTTATCTCTCAAAGCATCCTTTTATCAAAAAGTCTATAAAATTTTTATTGAGTACCAATATCAACTTCTCATGATGCTCATATACATAAACGTGTTATGTTTCGAGGAAAATAAATTGCTTTTCAGTGAATACATTTCTTTAAAAAGACATATTTTACAGCTCTGCTTTTCCAAATTTGAAAATATCTCACCAAACCACAGTGCTATTATAAGAAATGAAATGCGGGTGTTGCTCAAATATAAAGTTTGCATTCTGACTCTTTTTCCAAGCCTATAGCTAAACTCTGGAAAGCCTATAGCCCATTAACATGATTTCCCCAAGGATTTTCACCTGTTCCATCTAAGAGTAAGTGATAGTAGAGCAATTTTGTAACCTCATTTTCTCTATCTATCAGAAGAGCAGCAATGTCTACCAAGC